AGGTGTGCATAAACCAGCATTTTTTTGTGAAATTGCAGCAGCAACTGTCCATAACCATGCCTTTTCTTTTCCAATGGTACCAAGCTAAATTAGTATGAATTATGCCGTTGAACAAATCTAGTTTGAAATATTGAATCACTGTGACTTGTACTAACATTTTTCGGCATTTCAATCTTGCTGAAAGATATAACAAAACAAAATCTTTAAAAAGGATAATAATGGTTAACTTTACAGTGTATAGAGCGCATATTATAGAAACCTCTATTAAATGTATTACATCCATTTATTATTGTATTGAAATAGGAGTAATATACATATATGTAGCTAATGACAGACTATCAGTTTAATCAAAAGGAAATTTTTTTTTTTTAGTTTTCAAAACAGCTTAGCCTACATTACAATTTCAATATCCTTTAATATATACACATTAAATTTGATTATTTTGATAAACTACAGCATCATCTATAGCATGCTGTTAATAATTAATAGTACAGGACAGTAAAAATAAAACGTCAACAAAACATTATATTCACCTTTAGAATGTCAGGTAATTTTCTGTTCCTTCACAGATACGTCTTCAAACAAACATTAATGCTTTCCTACTACAATGATTTAGTTGACTGGATTGAGTTTTCGCTTACAGTAGTTACAGAGACTTGAGTATCCTGAAATAAAGTCACCAATTTATGTTGTTAGTAGGCCTTTTGATTACATTAACCTTCCCCAAATAATGATACAATTCCTTACACCCCCGCCGCCCGGTTAACCTTAAACCGATTATTTTATTAAAGCATAGAATGTCAGGTAATTTTCTGTTCCTTCACAGATACGTCTTTAAGCAAACATTAATGCTTTCTTACTACAAGATTGAGTTGACCGGATTGAGTTTTCACTTAATTTCAGTAGTAACTGAGACTTGAGTATCCTGAAATAAAATCACCATTAATGTTAGTATAGGCCTTAGAGTATAGGCCTTAGAGTATAGGCCTTAGAGATTACATTAACTTTCTGCAAATAATGATACAATTCTTTACACCACCCCCACCCCGGTTAACCTCAAACCCATCATGTTATTAAGGCATCATGGACATTAGTGAGGACACGGCCCAAATGCAATTTACCACTCTCCTTAGACTTATGGCATGCTAGACTATGGGGCAATTAACTTACAGCTTGGCTAGGCCAACAAAAGGCCCAGGTTCTAGGCCTAGCCCTATATCTTCAAAGGCCTAGAGAGAACAGAGAACCTCTGTTCTGTCTGTCTCTCTACAGCGGCTAGGCTAGTATTACCGGTCAGCTAGGCCTAGGCCTTAGGCTAAGCCAGGCCTCTTCATTCAAGCCTTCATCTACCACTAGGCCTAGGAGGAGGCTAGCGTGTCTGCTAGAGTAGTAAACTAACTAAATAATAAAACAAAACCAACTCTTACCACTTGATAGTGAATACAGTACTGCTAAAATACTTCCAAGGAGTATGTTTATAACTGCCTAACATCATGAAAGTCCAGAGAAAAATTCAAAATACTACCGCTTCCGTTGGCTCTACATGAAGTGACAATTCAAATCAGCTGATTGGTCACTTGACGAAGTGACCAATCAGATTTGTGCAATTCGACACTAACATTAATTGGTTGTTAGGAAGCTATCACAGTAAACAGGTTAGGCTGTTGATAAAATGTTGCTGTCAACCCTAAAGCATTGTTGTTTGGTGAATAAGTGAGGGATAAGTTTAGGGGACTACAGCCCCGCTCCCCCCCCCAATAAATCATAAAGTTCCCATAATTCTACTAATGTATTAGCGGTTCCAGGAATTTTTCATAGAGTTTGAATAGACTTTATATATATTTTATATATATAATTTTCAAAATAATTTTTAATATTTCATTTGCAGATAAACACTTCCATAGCGTTCGTATACATTTTTTATATATTTTCTATAGAGAAACAATTTTACATATTATAAACGTTTCCATAGAGTTTATATATATATTTTATATATTTTCTATGGACTATTAAAAGTAATAGTTTTAAAATGACTGTGTTTAGAATATTATACAGTTCTACAAAACATACTATAAATAAATAAATTTATATTGAAATTTCATATATGTTATACTCTATATAGATTTTATATGTTCCTATAGAAATAATCCATATAAAATTGTTATAATACATTATAAAAAATACATTAAAGGACTATATTTTTTTTATAGAACAAATATAGAAATTTTATAGTTTTATTATAGAGAACTTGTCATCATTTTGTATTAAATATTCTATAGAATTTCTATAGAATATGCAAGATGTAAAATATGTTGGTAAGACTATATTGGTAATTGAAAAAATATTGAATGAAACAAAAAAAAATTAAAAACAGAAATTACATTAAATATGTGTATATAGTATGTTATAGAATTCTATAGAAACTAGTTCCTCTATAAAACAATTTTATAGAAAATACTAATTTCTGTAGAAATTGATTAGTCTATAGAAAGATAAAGTTCTATAGAATGTTTATGTATGGGCCCGTCCATGGACCATGCAGATTCAACAGCTTCACTTCTTATTGCTTCATGTAAGATCTTTAGCCTTCTCGATGTAAGATTTTCAGTAATAAGCCAGATTGCTTAAGAGATTTTTTGTTACGGAATACGGCTGAGCGGGTGCGGTAAGAGGTGAATTTGATGATGATGGGCTTTGGTTTTGTTTATGTTCATTTCAAACTTTCCTTCTACTTTATCGATGAGTACGATCGAAATCGCATAGTTCAACCTCATTACTAATATTTGAATTAATCAGATCAAGAGCTAACGAGTCCGTATCTTCGTTTATGGACTCAGGAACGCCATGAAGAAGCTGACAGTTGCGTCTACTATATTGCTCTAGTTCATCTAGTTTGTCCACCATATCACGATTTTCGGCTAGTAGCTTATTGTTTTGGTCACGAAGGCTGGCTATGTCGCCCGCAGCTGTCTCGTTGTCATAGGCAACGCTTTCGTAAATATGATCACTAACCTGATCGATAATGGTTTCGCTGATGGACGAAATTAGTGATTTATTGTTGCACACAGCTTTAATAATTTTCTCAAACAGTTCATGAGAGGACAAAATATGCTTGCTAATGCTCGTTGCAACAATCGCAATCAATTGAGGGTCGTCCGACAGGAGATCGTGAAGTGGACCTAGTTCTTGTTGAGAAGCGTTCCCGGTATCGCTGTAGCCGCTGATGAATCAGGACCGATCGTAGCCGGTTGTTGGCTTAGGCATAGGTCAGACTTGCCTCCGTTATATTAAATTTTCTCGCAATTCACATTGGCGGATCTGGGGGAGGTGCGTCATCGGTCCTGACCCCTCCCTTGGGCCAAAAAAGGGGGGGGGGAAAGAATTCTAGACCTACCTTTTCAGGACCCGTGAGATGATTTTCTTTTTAACACTTAAGAAAATTAGAATTTTGAAGAACATAAAGTCATTAAGACACAATTCAAATGTCGAAAAAGCTCATTTCCCGCCATCTAGGAATAACAATTTTCCAGGGGGAAAACCCCCGGACCACCCCTCTTATTAGGATTTATTTATTTTATTCATGGAAAAAAGAATACGCATGCAACTACTCATTTGTTTATATGATAGTAACACACATAAAATAAAAAATGAGAAAAATTTACCTGACTGTTTTCAAGAGAGGAAAACCTTGAATTTTGAAACAATTAAAAAGTTATTTATGATGACATTTCAGAAGTTAGGAAAGCTAATTTCCCGCCATCTAGAAATCGAAATTTTCCCGGGGGAACCCGGACCCCCTTTTTCTTTGGTGTGCATTGATTCATTAAATCATTTTCAAGAGGGGAAAACCTTGAATTTTGAAGAATTTAAAAGTAATTAAAAGACACTTCAAAAGTCGGGAAAACTAATTTCAGCCTTCAAGGAATCAAAATTTTCCCGGCGGAGAACCCCCGGACCCCCATTTCTTGTTGGGATTTATCGATTCTAAGAAAAAAAAAATCGTATGCAACTACTCATATTTTATTTTATTTGTTTGTATGTATACACACATAAGGCCTATTTATTGTAAAAACAAAAAGGAAAAAAATACCTGAACGTTTTCAAAAGGGAAACCTTCAATTTTGAAGAACTTAAATTGAAGTCGCTTAAAATACTTCAGAAGTCGGGAAAGCTTATTTTCCACCATTTAAAAATCAACATTTTCCAGCGGAGAACCTGAACCTCTCTTTTCTCTTTGGGTTCATTGATTCATTATAATAATTTTCAAGGGGGGAAAACCTTGAATTTTGAAGAACTTAAAAGTAATTAAAAGACCTCAAATTTCAGCCTTCTAGAAATCAAAATTTTCCCTGGGGAGAACCCGCAGACCCTCCTTTCTTTTTGGGATTTATCGATTCATGGGGAAAAAAATCGTATGCAACTACTCATTTTTTTTTTTTTTTATGTATGTATACACTCATAAGGCCTATTTACTGTAAAAGCAATGGGAAAATTACCTGACCGTTTTCAAGAGGAGAAACCTTGAATTTTGAAGAACTTAAAAGTAATTAAGACACCTCAGAAGTCGGAAAGCTCCCCAGCTAACACATTAACGTTAAAAAAACGTTATAAAAACGTACGAGTTTGGTTCAAAAAACGTTTTAGTAAAACGTTTCGAAAACGTAATTTTGTGGAGTTTTGGAAGCGTTTAAATAACGTTTTAATGTAACGTTTTAAAAACGTTAATATAACGTAAAAATAACCTTGGTTACATCGGCTTTGTTCTTGTATCACGTTTTAAAAACGTTTTAAAAACGTCTACAAAGGGTCTTTATTACGTTTGTAAAACGTTATAATATTACGTTTTAAAAATGTAATTATGTGGGGTTTTTAAAGCGTTTTAATAACGTTTCAATTTAACATTCAGAAACGTTATTATAACGTTATTTTGATGTTTTTAAACGTTTTTAAAACATTCTTAAAATGTGTTACAATACCAAAGTCAATGTAAATAGAGTAATTGTTAACTCTAGTTACATTGACTTTGGTCTTGTAATACCTTTTAAGAATGCTTTAAAAACGTTTAAAAACATCAAAATAACGGTAAAACTTTTGAGTTTGATTGGTATTCCAAGACGTTTTCAAAACTTGAACAAAGGCTGTACACTGTGCATATCCGTAGGTCGGCCTCTGGTCACTACATCGTGTTAACTTTGATGCTTTGGGACAAAAGAGGTCAACAATACAAAATTACTTACAATTATATAGCGTTATGTGTTTATCCTTTAATGTTTAATGCATCCTAGTGTACTGTATTATACTGTAAATTAGCAAAAGCCCCATTTCAATAAAGGACAAAAGGATATACAATAATCAATATCCAAAAAAATAATAAATCAAAATCAAGTTAGAGTCAAGTGCTGACAATTCTATACTATTTCTGTAAGTACAGTTATTTCAGTCAGTATTTGGCAAGTTCAATTGATTTTAAAAATGTCAAAGAAATATCAAAAATAAACAAGGGGCCTAGTGTACAAAACTCCATAGTGCACACTTAAAAATCTTGGATATTGAGAAAAGCAGATGGCTACACCCTCTCTGAATCAAGCCTTGACAGAGGAAATTCATAGCTGTTTTGTCACAATGGAACCATTTGCGAAGTAGAATGTTGTATCAGAACCAATAAAGAGGATGTGCTACAAATCAAACGCATTCACATAATATTGCTATCGTCCTCATCGTTGTCATCTCTTCTGGCAACTACATCTTCTTCATTACAAACTTGCTTAAGTTTCTGTAAAAAGTGAACACAAAAATGTGTCAACAGTCGGCCTTTTTTGGTTTTTATAATTAATATTCTACATGTAGGATGAGTTTTAGTAGTGTTTTCTGAAGTGAAGTGATTTTCATTACTGTTAAACTTGACTTAATAACCAAACATTTTCTTTTGAGTATCTCATAGTAAAACATTTGCTATATAACAGCTATAAAAACCATACTTTTAATAGTCCCAAGGTAACACCAACTCAATATATTTAATTACAAACGTATGATCACCCTTGTTAATATATTATTTGAACTGCTGAATATTAGTCCTATAAACAAATTCAACAGATTAGAATAATTACATTTTTATTAAAAATAACATGTGTAGGCCTATGTTAAATATTTATGAAAAAATAATATAAGGTAAGTATAAATTATCATGATAAGTTAAAACTTTCTAATAACTTGTCTGAAGCCGTGATACTTGACATCCTTAAAACAATTAATTCCCATTCTAAATCAATGTATTAGTTAATATAATGAAAATAATAAATGAAAATATTATAGGTAATTAAACTGTTTGAAGTGATCATTATGGAATGATAAACATACGCACACAGTACATACAAGGTTAGCATATCATGCTGATAGCAGTGATAGCCCACCATTTCTATAATCAACAAACAATGATGTAATATTGTATAATAATGATAATAATAATAATAAAAATAATAATAAGATAAAGCCTGGACTTACCATATTTAATTATGCATACAGGGTGCCTTTACAGAAGAACGGTGGACTTGCCTAAATGCTGTTGAACTTTCTTCCCTCAGGTAATTGGTAACTAAAAGTAAACATATATTTATCAATTAATGGCATCAACCCAAAAATATTAATTAAAGAAAAGTTAATAAACAGTTAATATATAGAATCCACAAATGAGCTGCAGTCATACAGGCAATACAAAAATAGTATTCAGCACAATCAAAAATGGTGAATGACATTGTGACCTGTTCCGACACTGAAAGCAGACTTAGAAATCTTAACTGTAATATTATAGCCAGCAACTTCTCATGACAAATACAAAAACGTCATGCCTAAGAATCACTAGGCCTAGTAAAAATAATTAGATTAAGCCTAGGCCTATGTGCCAGTACCAGGGCAAATACAGGGCCGCTAGCATGAGACAGACAAGGCACATATGCCTCATCTATCATCATGATATTCCCAGGTTTGTTCTTGATTTAAAACTATGAAAAGGAGTATTATTTGTCATTAAATGCCTCGCAGTTCAATACACACTTAGGCCTAGGCCTACAGCACAGGATAACTGTAGAACTAGGCCTAGGCCCTAGCTAGGATCCGTATTTATGTCACAAAACCAAAAAACCTGACGTAAAATAACACCAACAACAAACTATTGCAGAAAACAGATTTTTTTCACCGAGGGCATAAGCATTAGACCCCCAACTCCCACTGCGCCTTTGTGCTCCCTTTGCTAGAAAATCTGTTCCTACTTTCCTTTTTCAACCCTCTGGCTACCTACCTAGGGCTGGCTTGACGTGTTTTCCTAGCCCCGGCCCAGGCCAGGCTTTGGCCCTAGGCCTAGGTCTACCGACGGCTCTGGCTTCTTGACGTGTTTTTTATTGTGTGTTTTTTCTAAAAGACAATTTAACGTAATGTATATCAAATAATAAACTTACCTTCCATAGTTTCATAAAATTGTATACGATCAGATTAAAAGTTAGGGTTTCTAAAAGTATCAGCAAAAGTTGAATTCAGAAAACGGACGTCACATAGCCTACATCATCCAACGAAAAACAGGCGCAAAGTGGCAATCGGTCAACGGTTGCGCGCGTTCGCGTAGATAAATTGTCACATGAAGCTTGTTGACGAATCAGTAAATTTTATTCGTGGCTAAGACTTATTTTAAATGCATGGATGATGAAGGTGACTACGTAGATTTATACATATATAATTAATGTGTTAAAGTTAAAGAAAACAATTAACCTGAATAAATTGGTTCAAATTTCATTGTAGGCCTACCTATGTTAATTGTTTGGGTGTAGCATTGGGTACGTTTGGTCTTTATAAAATATGTTAATTAAATTTCTGGAATAAAGTGGTGGCCATTTTTGGTTGCGAGATAACGTTGTAAACGCTGTGATTTAATTGTGATAAACGTGTTTATAAACGTGTTTGTAAGTATTTTTCTTATGTTATTATAACGTTTTTATAACTTTTTGTACAAGGAAACTGCAAATAAAACACAATATATGGCAACGTTTTAAAATCGTTTTAAAAACGATTTATAAAAACGATAACAATTTCTCTGACAATTGGTGAAAATTTGGTTTTGATATAACGTTCTGTGAACGTTGTGATTTCGTTATAATTATACATTTGTTGAGGAGTCTTTGCGTACGTTTTTATAACGTTTTTATATCGTTATGATGCATTAAATCTGCAAACAATAGGCAATATTACACAGCGACGTTTTAAAATCGTTTTTAAAACGTTTTATAAAAACGATAACATTTTTGATGAAAGTTAGTGAAAATTTGGTTGTGATATAAATATAACGTTCTGTAAACGTTGTGATTTCGTTCTATTTTATGCACCTGCTTGTAAGTTTATTTGCGTACGTTTTTTGAATGTTTTTTAACGTTTTTGTGCAAACAATCTGCAATCAAAAGGCAAGGTTTACACAGCGACGTTTTAAAATCGTTTTTAAAACGTTTTATAAAAACGATAACAATTTTTGTGAAAATTGGTGATAAGTTGGTTGTGATATAACGTTTACAGAACGTTGTGATTTCGTTCTATTTTACACAATTGTTTGTAAGTTTTTTGCGTACGTTTTTCTAACGTTTTGGTGCAAAAGTCTCTAATCAGAAAGCACAATTTTTTAACTTGCACGTTTTAAAAACGTTTTGAAAACGTTTCACAAAAACGAAACCCAAACTAAAACCAATTCAAAACGTTTTTTTAACGTTTTGTGTTAGCTGGGTCATTTCCCGCCATCTAGGAATCAAAATTTTCCCGGGCCGGGCCCCCCTTTTCTTTGGAGCTTATCGAATCATTGAAAAAAGAATACGTACGCCTACGCGACTACTCATTTATTTTTTATGTATGTTTACACACATATCAGGCCTATTTACTGTAATAAGAATGAGAAAGTTTACCTGACCGTTTAAAGAGGGGGAAAACCTTGAATTTTTAAGACCAAAGTCATTAGACACATAGCTCAAAAGTCGAGAAAATTAATTTCCCGCCATCTAGAAACCAAAATTTTCCCGGGCGAAGACCCCTGACCCCTAAATTTGATTCCAGATCTGCGTGATTCATATTCCCATTCGTCTTATAAGTGCCCCCCCCCCCACCCACTTTGGAAAAAACGTTCCGCCGGCCCTGAAGGCAATTCGTGAAACTTACTGAAATGAAACGTGCATATACTATCACGATTTGACCTGTC